GCAGCTCGCCGGCAGTTCCCTGCTCCCCTCTCGCCACCCGACAGCGCCCCCCGCAGCTCCCTGCTCCCCTCTCGCCACCCGACAGCGCCCCCCGCAGCTCGCCGGCAGTGCAAGAGAGCAAAGCTACACTGGGAAGTGTTTAGGGCACCCGAAGTTCTGCAAACAAAGGGGCGCATGAGCACTGCAGTATGTGGCGGGACCCCTGTGGCACGGCATGAAAGCCAGGGACATTTCTCTTCCCTCGATCCCACAGAGAGATTCCAAAGGCGGAGGACTGGCCCCAGGCGGGGGAAGAGGATATAAACAGCGCTCTGGGAACAGAACTGTAGCACCGTTGAGTGCCGGAGACGCACTCAGCACGTCGAGCTGCTAGTAGCACCGCAGGGGGCCTGTGGGGCACTGCACACGAAGGTGCAGATGTGAGTTTCACTATGGAAGTGTCATTCCCCGCTGACAGCCCACGATTTACCACAGAACACACCACTTCCCCTGACTTGGGCAGACTGCTAGCCAGGCCTCGTGCACTTAGATTCCAGCCACCCTGCGTAAGCTGCCTGGAGGCGGGAACGCGAGGGAGCCGCGGTAACGTCCCGCTAGCGCCTCTGTGCAGGTAGCAGGGTGCCTGGCTTTGTGCCCAGCTGGGTCCTTACAGTCAGGATTGCACTGGCAGAACTTTTCACAGAAATTCTGAGTCATGATGCAGGGGCAGGAGCTGTCGCAGGGGTGGTCGGGGTGGTCGCAGGGCTGGTAGTTGTACACCTGGGTAGGTGAATTATCTACAAGAAGAAGAGGGGAAATGCCATGGTTACAACCCATGCCCCGCAAACACCCATAGACGCGGAGTTACTGCGCACCAGGCTCTGGAGCATCAGAGCAGGCCATTTCCAGTTCTGCCAGCAGAGGGCAGGCAGCCGGTAAGCATGAACGCCTTACAGATGCTGCACTGGGATCACAAGCACATGATCGGTTTACTTCGCTCCTGATCAGCCCCCCATCATCCCCCGGCACTTGCCTCCGCCTGGAAACGAGAGGGTGCCCCGAACGCTCCCGCCAGGACGAGGCGGATGGAAAAGTCCCACCACAAGCGGATGGGAACTTCACAGGCTTCCCACATCAGCCAGACAAGGCGCAGCCGGGGAGCCAACAATAGCACCGGCTCCTGTGGCTGCTGGCCTGTCGCTCCCAGCTCGAGCTGGCCGGCTGGAGAGACTCTCAGCACTACACAGCGCCCTGATGCTTCTCAAACCCAGCCCCAGATCACGGCCAGCGACGCACGGTACCTTTCTTCAGCTGGATCTTCCTGCAGTGCGCAGCCCACAGCCTGAAAGAGAAACACAGATGTGGGACTGGGGCGCCTACCTGAGGAAGGTCCAACAGCGTCTGTGCCTGGACGCGCAAGGCTCCCAGTCAGCTCAGCAACTGGAGAGGTGAGATTCCATCGGCAGCTGGGCTGCCAGCTTCGGGCACCAATAACCACCAGCTACTGGTCACAGAGGCGTGGACAGAACAGAGCCAGGCGTCTGGGAGAGACGCTCCTTAGGGCAAACCCTAACGTCAGGCGAAACCCCACGGAAGACAAACAGCTCGGCAGGATGGATTAGAACAAGTGCATGAGAAGCTGGTTAGAAGCCAACCACCTTCCAACCGGGCCTTGAGGGGGCTGACTCTCACAGGCAGCTGTTCCCCAGTGGCTACCAAGCTGCTGCTAGCGGC